TATCCATTCGTTTGTTGATGGGCACCTGGGTTGTTTCCAACTCCTTGCTATTGTGAACAAAGCTGCAATAAACATGGGTGTGCATATATCTGCTTGGCTGTCAGTGATGAATTGCTTTTTATGATTTTCTAGCTATGGTCTTCTATTCACCTTATCAAGCCATCAGATGGTTGGATTGTTGTTGTTGCCGTTATGTACCATCAAATCTTCCATGCAATGACCATTTGAACGGCAGATCTGAACCTGACCTTATCTTACCTACACCATGCGCACCATGTCTGACATGCTCGAGCCCACAGTGGTAATTACTGTGTCAATGCATCTTGTCGAAAATGTTCCTCTCTTTTGCTGACTCTCTAACTTTCTCAGCGTAATGTCTCTCTGAATGTAATGTGTCCTCCTGAAAATACCCCAAAGTAAATGAGATGAAGTTTCACTGTCTTTGCCTCTAAGGAGCACTCTGGTTGCACTTCCTTTAAGACTGATTTGTTAGGGATTCCTTCCCACCACCCCCCGTTACGGTATATTTATTACTCTTCACCAACACCACAACCGAAAAGCCTTGCTTTCTTTTTTGGTCTTCCTTATGCATTGCCCAAGTTTCAGCTTCTTAGGAAGCAATTAATTGAAAATACCATGGTTTCGATCAGGCACATCTTATGATTACTGGGTGAGACTAGGCGAGCAAGCGACTCGACGGCACATAACAACAACAGGGCACACAAGGTGCTTGTGGCCCACAAGTGGCCAGCATTGGTGACTGGACAGTGTATTGATAACTGAAGAACATGGGAGGATGTGGGTGTGGGAGTATGCAAATAAAGGGTATGGGTTCCTAATCATGTATCTGTCAGTTTTGTCCTCACCCTAATCATAAAATGAGTTATGTTAGAGGTGGACCTGCTGAAGAGTATCCAAAAATGACTGGAACAGTACATCAGTAGAGAACTTCTAGAAGTCCAAGCTGGGTTTAATGCCCTAGAAGAGGCACTAGGGATATCATTGCCAATGTCAGGTGGATTTTGGCTGAAAGAGAGAATACCTATCAGAAAGATGTCCATTTGTGTTTCATTGACTATGCAAAGGCCTTTGACTGTGTGGATCACAATAAATTGTGGCTAACGTTGAGAAGAATGGAAATTCCAGAACACTTGATTGTGCTCATGCAAAACCGATAGTTGGTCCAGGAAGCAGTCGTCAGAACAGAGCAAGGAAACGCTGCATGGTTCAAAATCAGAAAAGGAGTGCATCAGGGATGCATCCTGTCTCCACACGTTTTCAATCTATATGGAACAGAACATTCAGAAGGAAGGACTTTATGAGGAGGAATGTGGTATCAGGATTAGAGGGAGACTCATTAACAACCTGCATTATGCAAATGACACAACTTTGTTTGCCGAAACTGAGCAGGAGCTGAAGCACTTGCTACAGAAGGTCAAGGACCACAGTCTTCCGTATGGATTGAAGATCAACATCAAGAAAATAAAGATTCTCATCACTGGGTCAACTGACAGCACCATGATAGATGGAGAAGAGGTTGAGATTGTTAACAATTTCAGCTTGCTGGGCTCCACAATCAACACTCTTGGCACCACCAGTCAGGAACTCAAAATGAGTTACATTACAAAAATCTGCTGTCAGGGAACTATCCAGAGTGCCAAAGAGCAACAATGTCAGTCTAGAGACTAAAGTGCTCCTAATCCAGGCCATGGTCTTTGCAAGTATTTGCCATGCATCATAGAGTTGGAAAATGACTAAAGATGACAGAAGAAGAATTAATGCCTTTGAGTTTATGATGCTGGAGAAAAGTATTGGACTGCTAAGACAACAAACAGGTCTGACCTAGAGAGAGTAAAACCAAACTGCTCCTTGCAGGCAAGGAATTTGAAGCGCTCTCTCACATACTTTGGGCTTATTGCCAGGAGGGACCGGTCCTTGGAGGACATTATACTTTAAAGGGTAGAGAGAAAGCACAGGAGAGGAAGATCCTGGATGAGATGGATTGACACAGTAACTAGGATGATGAGAGCAGGTGTGTAAGAGCCAGTGAGATGGGCTCACAACAGGGTAAGATTCAGAGCTATTATGCATAGGTTTGCTATGAATCGTAGCTAATTCAATGAAGTGGGATCCCTGTATTGGGAAACCTAGAACCAAGAGACAGAGAGCTGTGACACTTGAAACGATAATTGGTGGCAAAGCAATGGCATTAGCATTAGCAGAAGAACTGTAATATTTATGGGAGACAGTGCTGTGGATTTATTGCTTGCTTAATGTGAAGCAAAGACAACTTGCCTTGGAGGCCATGTTTATGAACTCAACAAGTCAGAAGCCCCACTGAGACTTCAGTCCCATCCCTGAAAGTCTGCCACACTCTAAACCCACTCTTTCTCCAAACCCCAGTTAAGATCAGAGTCCATTCCACTTAGACAAATTGTCTCAGATGAGCATAGCTCTGTTTTACCCGAAAAGCAAACTCACACTTTTGTGCTTTTTTCATGAGGAAGCCTCATCCATTCCCATGACCTGTGTGACGGATACACAAGGCCCAGGTGTAGGAGGACATGCTCACCTGTGCATTGACCAGCCAGATGAGCTTGTCAAGGTTCTCAAACCACCTCTGCGCATTCTTGTAATGGAAGTCTGAGCCCATGGTCATTAAGATGTGGTTGGTGCGGTAGTTCCTGGCCTGGAGGCAGAATGGTAGAATCTTCTTAAATCTGAGTGCTTTGACGCTCGCCATCAACCCCCCAACATCCAGTTGTATCATCAGTTGTCAAAACAGCAGACATTCATGAATAGTAATACTCAGCATGTGAATATCGTTTTAATAGTCAAAGATTTCTTGAGCAGTTACTATGGGCCCACCTAACAGTGAGGCTGGTGCCACGTTGCCTCCTGGATGCAGTGGGAGTGTGAAGCTGGGGAGGGTTCTTTTTTCTACTGAGCCAGAATGTACACAGACCCATCAAATATGCCTGGGCTCGGGATCAACTGCCTGGCCTTCACCCTGGCTTGACCACTCGCCAGCTCTGTGACTGCTGGCGATTTGACCCATTTATCTTCCATTTAGCTTTCTTAGTTATCAGCTTCTTTTACTTTAATTGGGACAATAATGCTATGATGGGAATTTAGGGAATGACTGTGTCATGGTAAGGAGACCTTGTGGTTCAGCAGCTTTTGTGTTGGGCTGACAAGTAAAGGTTGGTGGTTCAAACTCTTCCAAAGAACTATGGGGGGAAAGAGAAACCTATATGCTCATGTTAAGATCTAGAGCCTCAAAAAGCTGGAATCAACTCAACAGTAGTGGTTTATAAGAAAATAAGAAGTGAGGCACAAATGGAAATTTGTACACCAATGTTCATAGCAGCATTATTCACCATCGCAAGAACATGGAAACAGCTCAAATGTCTAACCACAATCGAATGGATTAAGAAATTATGGTATATTCACATGATGGAATACTATGCAGCACACAGAAGCAATGATTTTGTAAATCACTACCTAACTTGGGAGGGACTGGAGAGCATTATGCTGAGTGAAGGAACTCAGTCCCCAGAGGACAAATACTGTACAAGACCATTATAGTAGAGCGTGTATGAGGATCCGGGGGGGGGGGGTCGTTAATCTTAGGGTCACACAATTTGATGGGTGGGTAAAGGAAACGGGAAAGATCTGGTGTGAAAAACAATGTATATGAACTCTGTAAGTAAACCAGTATAAAATAAAAATTTTATTGAAAAGAAGAAAAAGAAAAGCCATTTAAAGAAACCAACACCAAAAACTAGTAGAAGGTTTAGTTTTCGGTTTGGTGCCACACTAAAGCTCTCTAATTATTAGCTACGAAACACCCAGAGGCTATGGTCAGTGGTAACCTGGTTAGGGGTCAAGTCATGGTCAAGGTTACCTGGTCAGCAGCCACTTGAAGAAAGCGTGTCACCATCTTGTCAGCATTGTAGTCACTGCTGCTAATTTCCTCTACCAAGTCTGGGTCAGAACACAGAGAATCCCAACAAAATCCAGAGGGTGGTTCATACATGTTGGGGAGCACACCTGTTGGCCAAGGCATGGAGTTCTAGTAGGAATCTGCCGAGAGCCATCGAAAGAGGCAGGGGGCATGCTTCCCAAGCCCCGCCCCTCGCAGCACACACTCACTAGTGAAGAGGTCGGCAGCTGGGGGATGGAGAGTCGAGCTGCCCCGCCACACCAGCTCCATCTCACGCGCTTCCTCTCGCCACTGCTTATCTTGATAGTCTACTCGCCCTAAGAAGACAACGTCGAAGCCCATCTGGGAGCAGGAGACACACATGGTGGAGGGTTGAAATCCAGTTCCCAGGCCCTCTGAGTGAGTTTGAGATGAGTGAGGTGGAAATGAAGTCAAGGCCAAGGGCTGTCCACTTCTAAATTACAAAGCCACTGCACTGAGACTTGAAGAGGATGTATTTAGTGCGAACACAGTTTAGGATTCTATCCTACTCAATCTCACAATTGGGGCGTGGTCAAAATTCCCAGAGGAGGTGGAGGGAAACAAACCCGATTTAACCCGAATGAGAGCCAGAGGCAGGGCCAGCGCAGACCTGAAGGAGGGCGGAGTTAGAAAGGGCCTGTGAGAATGTGAATCTTAGCCACTCAGAGGGAAGCATCTAATTCATTCATTACAGATCAGGGGAGATTGTGGCGAATCCACAATAATGTGGGGGCTCTTAACTTAGGTTGAGTCCAGGACTAGAAGTGGTTGCACCTGGGCAAAGAGTGAGGCCTGCTCACGTGAGTGGCCAAAGGGGTTGATTTGCCAGGCAATGTGAGGATGTCCATCTTTGCCAAAGGTGTCCTTCAGGAAGCGTAGCCCAAGGGTCATCTGGTCCACTACGGCTCCATAGTGGGTAGTTGCCTCGTCGTTCATGACCCAGCCTCCATTGGCAAATTCCAGGCGCCCTGGGCAGGAGAAGGACCATGAGAGGTAGAGAGCACAGATTAAGGTCCACAAAGAGAGCAGGCCAGATGACGTTGGGGATGAGGATCACCTGATTCCCCAGACCTAGAATGAGAGTTCAGTTTTTGGTCCCGTGGGGCCAAGGGGTGGCCAGGATGATCACTCTGAAGAGTTGACTTTCAAGAGAAGAGGCACCTGATAGAGATGCTTTGAAGGATATATAGGAATCCATCTCCCCAGGTGAAATTCTAGACCACCAAAGAAACTAAAAGCTCATTGCCATCAAGTCAGAACCTACTCTTTGCTGACTGTTCAGCTAGTTGGGTTTTAACAAGCTGTAAGTCACACTGAGAGGTGATTACTCCTCTTTCTGTCTTGGAGCTGCTGGTGAATTCAAACCACCAAAAAAAGGTCCTGCCTTTGAGTTAGCGGGGCAACTCCCTGCTGACCAACGCACTGGAGTTCTCTGGGAAAGCAAGCCATGGGTATGCATACGGGGTAACACAAGCAGGGGAAGGGTTCCAGCATGGAAGCCAGGTAGACAATTTTTTCTCCTCCCTTGGGGCAAGCTCACCCTGGCGCACCAGGTCCTGCACAGCCTCCTGCATTTCCTCTGTCTGTTTCTTCCACCAGCGGGAGAAGAAGGCTATTTCCACATAGATGAAGCGGCGAGTGGGCTTAGCCAGCAAGGCTTCAACCACTGAGTTCAGGATCTTCCACACACAAATAAAAGGGGCCTCTGGATCTGTGTGAGTAGTCGATGGACAGGAAGATAAAGGATGAGAAGTGGTCATACGCTGGACACAGTCCAACTTCCCATGTGGGGGAGTAGAGGAGATTAGAGGTTCATATGGGATATGGACATCCAGGGAAGTGCTTCTATAATGTTGGACTCAGACCCCCGCTTACCATCACAAAAGTACTGGTCCACTGTCATGATCCATCCCACGTCATTGTGTGTATGGGCCACCAAGTGTACATTGAGCATGTCTGGCTGTACCTTGGAATATGTCTGCATAGGGATCCCAAACACATACACATAGTCTTCAGTGCCCACCTGTCTCACACTCCCATCTTCCACCCTGGAGCAAGTTGGACAAGACAAACCATGATTGTACACTGATCCAATGAGTCTGTGACCCCCCCCCTTAAACTGAGACCACTCAATGTGTTCTAAAAGCTCAACCATGTGCCAGAGGCTGGGCCTTCTGTGTAGTCGACACACACAGTTGGGCATATAGCTCAACGTTCAGTGACAATCATATTGTCAGATAAGGAGGTGCAGACTTACAACTATGCCCCCAAACTAGGTAAAGAATCAGACACCCAGTAACACAAAGCTCGTCCTCAGACTGTACAATCACACAAAGCTGCATTTGGAGGCTACTCATAGTCAGCCAAGAAGTCAATCAACAGATACACACAACCCACAAACAGAAGCAAGGATGCATCAGACGCGCGTGCACGCGCGCGCGCACTCACACATCATCTCATTGTCAGAATAGGTAAGTACACCCTGAAACATGTGACATGCCCTAGGTCCTTCCCAGTCCGTGGACAGACTACCTCTCAGACACTTTGCTATGTAGATATCTTCACACACCTTTTTGTCATCGGTTTGAGCCTTGGGTATCTCCACTGGCAAAAGAAGAAGGAGGCAGAAGATATGAGGCCATAGGACATGGGAATTGACCACAACCCAGTATCTGGAGGTTCCATCTGTGTTCTGACCCATGCTGATCCTTGAGTTACCAGTTTGTGTGCCCATCTCTCTTTGCCCTTCACTGTTACCTTCTCCTTGCATTGACAAAACAAAGGCCAAGATTCTAGATCCAGCCAGCCAATCAGGACAGAGCAGGGGCGGGGTCTAACATCATCAGAAGGACATAGATGCTTAATGTGACAGCAGACCACAGCCAGCTCTCATCCTCATGCATCACTGACTTCAAGAAACATTGCTTGGGACCTGATGGAGAAGGAGTGATCTTTCTGACTTTCTGGGGAACTGTCCTGATAATCGTGGTTGAAATTGAGACAGGCAAGGGCCCTGGTACATGTGGAGGCCCAGAAGGTAAAGGCAGCTCAGAGGGCAAAGATGTGGAAAGGATGATGGGTCTGAGTCTTGAGGGAGTTGGCCAGAATCTTTAGGGCCGGCCTTCGCATGAACCTAAGGTTGAGTTCTGGGATCAACTGACCTGACTCAGCTCTGGAGGTCCCTACTAGAAGCAGATGTTGACAGTGCGTGTCTCAGTTGTCAACAGGAAGTAACTGGCTTCAAATGCATCTGAAGTTCTGTCACTTTCCATAGCTCCAGGCTCCCATCCTGAGGTATCATCCAGCCCTTTGACAGACACAGTCCTTCTCTGGCTTCTTGCCTTCCTTTCAAAGTCTTTTCACACACGGATAGAATTTGCCTATTAGCATTTGTTGAATCCTATTATACCCTTCCCTATTCACAGTCCTCATATTATCTTCATCTCTTTCACAGTAAAAGAAAAAGAAAAAAAGTCCAGCTCCTTGTAAAACGCTTCAAGCCCTGAATTCTTCAGACCTCATCACTTCTTTGATCTTATCTCCTACTCCTCATGCTCACTCTCAGCTCCAGCTTCAGTCTCAATATCTTACTATTCCTCAAACTGCTGTACTAAATTGAATAATAATGGCCCTTAAGGATACCCACATATCAAATTAGTATGCTGAGCAAATCACTCAAGAAACTTAACTTCCCAATCAACAAACGAATGGATCGAGAAGCTGTGGTATATTCACACAATGGAATACTACGCTGTATTGAAAAACAAGGAACTCATGAAATATTATTCAAAATGGATGACCCTGGAGGACATTATGCTGAGTGAAGTATCTCAGTCACAAAAGGACAAATACTGCATGATGCCACTGTTGTAAAGCAGGACTGACATTGGGGTTGGGAGGAGACTGAGAAAGATGGGATAAATAATGGATGCTGCACTGAAACAAGATGAGGGAGAAAACTATTTAAGAGCGAAAATTATTAGGTATTTTTGTCATGACAGGAGTCCAGAGTGAAGGCTGCATAGTGGAGTGGACCTGGGGGGAGGGATTGTAAAACAATGAAAGAATTTTTCTTTTACTTTTTCAAGAGGGTAGTGTAGTAGGGGGGAGGGCTGGAAGGGGAGAAAAGTGCAACAATGAACGAATGGAAACCCAAAGTCTCTGTAAATTTTCATGGAAATTAATAATAAATTAAAAACAAACAAACTTAACTTCATGAAGGAAAATGTGGCATCAGGATCAGAGGAAGAGTCATCAACAAACTATGTCGTACAAATGACAAGCGCCTGCTTGCTGAAAGCGAGGAGGATCTGGAGCACTTGCTGTCGAAGGAAACAAAAATCTTCACCCCTGGCCAATCAGCAACATCATGATGAATGCAGAAAAGATTGACATTTTACACAAGGTCCTCTTTCTTGGATCCACAATCAACACCCTTCGTACCAGCAGTCAAGAGAAAAAGGAAAAGTCTGATCATCATTGGGAAAGTCTGCTGTCAGGGAGCTTTCCAAATTCCTGAAGAGCAATGATGTCAGTTTAAGGACAAAACTGTGCCTGATTCAAGCTATGGTCTTTTCAATCACCTGCCATGCATCAGAGAGCTCGACAGTGAATGAAGACGACAGAAGAGGAGTTGATGCCTTTGTGTTGGAGGAAAGTACTGAATATCCCATGGACTGTCCAAACAGTGCAAACAGATAGGTCTTGAAGAAAACTCAACAAGGCAAGAATGGTGAAACTTACTTTGAGCATGTTGTTGGTGGGAACAAGTCATCAGAAAGAGTCTGGGAGAGGAGGAGGGTGGGCAAAAGAGAGTAAGACCTTCAGTGAGAGGGTTTGGCACCGTGACCACAATGGGCTTGAGCGTGATGGAGATTGTGAAAAGATGCACAGGAGAGCAAGGGTCAGACGTTGTTCACAGGGTCGCTATGAGTCCTAGAAGGCTTGAAGCCACCTAATATCAAACAACAATAATAGCTAGTGATTTTGAGCTTTTGGCCCTCTGGATGTCTTTTTCCTTTCCTTTTTTTTATAACGCTAAATTTTTTTTCTTATTTTTT